AAATGTTCTTTGAGGTTTCCAATTAGATAGTCTAACCAAAGCTACACCGGCGACCAGAACATCGGCGTCGAGCTGAGTGCCTTGGGCAGAATGATGGATTGGTAGCCGCACGATGGCAACGGCTCCGAGGTTGCCGCAAATGACTGGTCTTGCCAGCCAACATATTTCGAATCTGTTTTCCTAGTGCCTCAACCGTTCCCTCCGCAATCTAGCACATTCTTCAATTGCCCAAGCATCCCTCACTTACCTCTCGTCGGCCGATTAGGGTCAGTCCCAACAGCTACTGCCTCTCTCCTCTATTCTCTCTTTACAAGCACAGATAGCCTTGGGTGGTTTTAGTCTAGGTCTAGTCATGTCTACGAGTGGTTGCATGCTATTGTATCTGCTAGTAAGACCTCCAACAACAAGCACAAACACGATGACGATGGTGATGACTATGATAACTAAGTAGATGGTTTAAGCAAACTGGCCTAGGATTCTGTCCAATTTAAACTGCTATGAAATTATTGTTAGGTAATTTAAAGAGACCTACTACACCGTACTAACGAGCACACCAACAAATTGAGGTTACAGAACAAAACAGGGCTGTTCCCAACCTCGATATGACGCCGCCGCATGTTTTGGTAATACCGAGAAGCAAACTTTCCTCTCCTTCTCTCTCTGTCGCCGGTGGTTCCCGAGAGGGCCGGGGTGCAGTACGAAGCACGGCCGGACTTCTTCGCCGTGCTGATGATATCACCGGCCACCGCCCTCGGAGCCCCTCGCCTTGAAGACGAGCAGCGCCGCCTGGGCTTGGCTCACCGTCCAGGGCGAGCAGCGAGATATACGAACCGCCGGCACCGGACCCGACGCCGTTGCCGCCGCAGATCTGGTGAAGTCCTGCAGCCCCTTGCCAGACTTGTTCGCCGGGAAGTAGGCCTGGGGCGAGCGGCTGGAAGCAGTTGCATCCAAAACCTCTCCTGCCTCCACGGCCTCGAAGCCTTCACCACCTTGACCCAGGCGTCTGGGTGGGTGGGGACGGCCATCACCATCACCATCGTCATCATCCCCCCCTTCCCCCCCGCGCCGCCGCCGCGCAAGATCGCCGCCCTGGGCGTCCACCCCTGGCTCTAACAAGTTGGACGACTGGCAGCCATTCTAGCGACCTGCGACCAACACAACAACAAGAACAACAACAACCGCCTCCCTGCTTTCCAACCTGCACCTCCTCGGCTTTCGACGAGCGTCACCGACTGCAGAAGTCGCTACCAGCGACAGCGAATCCGTGGAGGACGAGAACAAACCCGAGGGCGAAGAAGAGGTTAATTCCTTGGTTCACATCGTCGCAGCGAGAACACTTTCCCAGCTATGGTCATTTATGAGGACCTTGGAAGCCTACCCTCAAATACGGCGACGAGCACAGGCTGTGCTCGAAGAAAACGTCATGTAATTTGAAATGGCGCTAGTGAAGACAGGGGGCAGAGCTTGTAGAGAAACAGAAGGCAGAGCTTGTAGACATTTTCAGCGGTAAAATTGACAAAATCGGTATGCGCATAAAGCTCAAATGCAGGCGAAATCTTTGGTGCTATTTTCAAGTTAGTAAAATGCTTGTAGGTGGGAAAAGCTGTAGGTTTTGTTTGTTAGCATCACCTAAGCTAGTGTAGCGTTATAGGGGCTAACGATGCATTAGCCTGTTGTCTAGGGTAAATAAGGGCAAACGGTGGTGTAAGGCTATAGTTGTAACCATTTAGTAGTTAGCCAAGACACGCATTTAAACCACTATAGAGCTGTTTGTTTGTTTGCCTAAATACTCGTTTCTAATATGCAAGTGTGGAATTAGATGCATGGCAGGCAAGGTTGTTAGTCATTTGCAAGCAAAGCATAAGTCTATCAAGCCTAGCGAATGGTTAAGGATTGTGGAATTGATAAGCCAAATCCTAGACATCACAAAAACCTAGGATAAGTTGAAAAAGTTTAAGTTCTTGCTACCTACTATCCTACCTATCTTGTTTATTAAGCTACTAGTTGTTAGTTTAAGATGCAACTAATGCAACTTTGTTAGCATAGAGGTAAGAAAGATGTAGCAACATTGCTAAAATAATTACAGATAGGTAAATAATTAAAGTAAGAGCAGTAATATAGTGAAAAAAGCAAAGCAAGAGTAGGTTATGCTGTAAATAACAGGCATGCATTGTTAGCGATTTTTCTAGTTAGGCTTTAAAAGCAGTTAGTTTAAAGTTAGCTAAGGCAGCAAGCTAGCAGTAGTAGCAAAGGTAAGTGCAGAAATATTAGAAAAGCAGCTAATACAAATCTATACAACCTAGACTGCGTAGTTTAAGTCAAAAAGGCAGTTAATTAAGGCAGGCGACAAAAAAGCTAAGCCAAATAGGTAGTTAGACTGCATTAGTTAGCCAATGCATTTGAAAGGTTTAAACCTAGCCTAGTTGCGCAGCATGGTTAAGCCAATTGGCAAAGATAAGGTAATATTGCAGTAGATATAAGAAAGCATAAAGCAAATAATAAAGCAGGCAAAAAAGGTAGTAGTAAAGCAGTATAGGCATGCAATGTTGTTTGAGATTAACAAAAAAAAGGTATATATCAAGCAGAAAAAGCTATTTGATAAGCAGATAGAAGAGAATATGTAGGCAAATTACAAAAAAGTGTATTGCAAGTTGTTATGTTACATGCAGCAAACATAAGAATAGGATAATAGAGACTAGCTGCTATATACATTTACCAAAAAGCAAGGTAATTTGTTTGACAAGTTTTGCAAGGCAATAGAGAAGCATATGCAGGTAGAAGGCATAATGCTGTTGGATAAGGTAAAGCAGCAAAGGCGTAAGGATTAGGCAAACTAGTTGTATTTAGATACAACAGTTGCATTTTTTGACTATCAATATAAGCATATGCTATACAAAAATGCATTAATTAGCAGGTTGGCAGTGTTAGGATTGCACAATAATAACAGTTGGTATAGGCTAAAGAATTACATGCCAAAGTATTTAGCAGTTATCAAGATAGCGTAAATGTTAGTTGTATATTAGTTGGTAGTTAAGTAGCAGAATAAGGTAGCAGTGTTAGAGAAAACAATAAGTGCAAAGGAAATGCAAAAGGCAGCAACTAGGTTATTCAAAATCACCTAGCTAAAGGTTAAGCAGTTTATAACAGTTGTGTTAGACAAGTCTAAGCTAAGCTTAATAGATTAGATATTTGATTTGCATATGTATAAAATGCAAGTCTAGTTTATAACGCTAGTAGCAAAGACAGTTGATTAGGTTAGAGATTAAATTATATACTAGCAGATAAAGATTAAGACAAATGATTTGGCAAATATATTGCACAAGATGGTTAGAAAGGTAAAGGCTAAATTAGGCAAGCTGTTGATAGTAAAAGGCAATAATTTTAGGTTAGTGCTAGCAATTAAGTAAGGGCAAATAGAGGATAACTATAGCAAAGACTAGGTTAGATATTTATTTTTGCAAGACAATTGCAACAAGTGGTTAGCAAAAGGTTAGAGTTAGGTAGTGCAGCAGATTTTGCAGCAGGCAGACAAGTAGAAAGAGTAGATAGCAGCAAAAGGCAGCAACAAAATGCTATACTAAGCTAAGGCAGTATGCAAGTATAGGTTGGCAGTAAAGTAGTTTTGAAAAAGGTTATTGCAATTAATGTATATGTTGGAGAAAATGCTAGCATAGTTGTAGAAGATTATAAAAATACAGCATTGCAATATAGTGTATAGCAAGATGCGCAATATATTGATAGACTAAGGCATAGCAAGTTTTATAGTGTTATATTATAAGAATTACCATAGCATAAGCAAAGTTAAGGTTATACACTAATACTTGCTATGCAAGATAGGTAAGTTGTTAGTGTAGTATTTGTAATTAGTATTGCTATTTTGGCAGTAAATGCAAAGGATAGTCAAAAAGGCAGACAAGCTAAGTATGTTTTTGTAGGCAGATGAGATTGTAAAGCGTAAGGACAAGGCTATTAGGAAGGCAAAAGTTAGAGTAAAAGAAGGCAAGGTTAGAGATAAGAGAAAGGTGAAAGACAAGGTTATATAGGCAGCATAGATCTAAAAGCAAAAGTAGATACTAGACTAGATGTAGCAGATTATGCAATAGCATAGCAAGTAGTATCTAAAGGTGCAAGTTGGCATAAGCATGTAAAAGCATATTGCAATTGCAATTTTAAACTAGTATTTAAACAAGGCATTTGAAAAGGATATAAGCAAAGATAGCAAGTTTGACAAGGATAACAAGAGCATATTAGACAGCATTTGGGATTTGCAAGCTAGATATAGCATATATATAGCAAGGATAATATATATGCAAGAGTTGCAGCAAGAGGCATTTAAGACAATTGCATAGCAAGATTAGTTTTAAGCAATTAGCTAAAAGTAGCACTGATTTTTCAAGTTTAGCGCAAAAGATAGGATTGCAAGGTTAAGGTTAGAGGGAAAACAAAAGCTAGACATGTTTAACAGCATGCAAAAGAAGGCATAGTTTTGGCAGTTTATGCAGTTGCAGTAGATAGATATAAAAGGTTAGTTAAAGGTTATGATAGGGAAAAAGGCATAGTTTTGCAGTATGCAAGAGAGGGTAATCTAGGCAATTATCTAAGAGAAAAGTCTAATTATGCAAATGGCAGGGATAAGGAAAGGTAAAAGCATGTTGTTTATATTGCTAGCGTTTTGTTTGCTAAAAGAAGTGACAATTGTGATAGTGCTATTAATAGCGTTGCAAAAGGATTTGCATAGGCAGTGCAAGTTATGCAGGATTGATTTATATGTTTGGCAAAGCTAGGAGGCAAACCAAGCAGCATTAATTTAGGGTTAGGGTTAGGG